ATGCTGAATGGTTGAAGGGCAATGTCAATGGAAAGTGTGCAAATTGTGGCTGTGGCTTTGTGTTGTCCATGGATTCTGGCAATATAAATTCTAATCTGACTTGTCAAAGGTTGTGTAATGATCTACCCCATACAAGGATTCTGTGCTTCGTGCAATCGGTGTTTCAGTGACAAAATATCATATTGAATTTTATTTTATAGTATTATTTATATGAGTGATAAAGACAAGATAATCAGTGAGATCTACTACGATCGGGCTGGGTTTGCACTTACAAAGATGCAAAAAAGAAAGATGCATCCATAACAATGCAAGATGTCAAGGAGTGGTTTCAAGAGAACGTGGAAAGGAAAAAAAATGTCTGGATGCAACTCATTCATGGCACCGAATGCCGATTTTGAATGCCAACTTGATTTATTTGTTATATCAAAAAATGATTTAGATCATCAAACATATAGGATAGGCTTATTGCTTATTGATGTATTCTCTCGTAAAGCCGCGGTGGTGCCTATTGCATCCAAGCAACCTGCCGACATCACGGCTGGGATCATGGAGGCATTAAATAAAATGGGAGGGAAGCCCAAATTAATTTATTCGGATCATGAGGGGAGTCTCAATACCCAAGATCTTGTTGATTTTTTCAAGGGCGAAGGGATCCAAAACTATAAAACTCGCGGACACCCCCATTTCGCCGAGCGTTTCATTCGCACGTTCAAGGACATGCTGTTTAAAAGGGTTGATGCAGATCAGAAAAAGGGAATGGGTAATATACAATGGGTTGATTATATCCCCGAGATCATGCTAACATATTACAGTAGCATGTTCCATTCTGCACATGACATGACTCCAAATGATGCCCACAAAAAGGGAAACCATTTTGATGTCAAGATGAAGCTTGAGATGAGACATGAGGTCAAAATATATCGTAAGAAAGGGCTCTCCGAGAATGAGAGAACGAGCAATTGGAGCAGTGTCAAATACAAGGTTTCCAGGGTTGAAAAGAAATTGGGTCAAGACTATTATTCTGTTGAAGGGATGAATCGCCCCTATTTGAGGTCAGAGATTCTCAAGGTTTGAAACGTCCTTGAACCATTGAATTGGCGCAAGGTTGTCCTTGCAAGGGTGCAAGGCTTTTCTTGGAGGAGGGCAAGATTCTTCTTGCAGGCGTGCAAGGTTTTTTCTTGCAGGGGTGCAAGGTTTTCCTTGTGGGCGCAGGTGCAACGAAATGTAGACATGTGCGTGTTAGAGCTAACCACCAATGGTTCAAGTTCGCCAGGAGTTTGCTATGGTGTTTGTTTCATCACAAGTTTGCTGGTATGATAGTCAGCTGGAGCTTCACATTTGTTGAACACTTCCTGTGAATTCGGCGCAGCTTTGTTTGATGCAATGGCAGAGCCTCCCGTGAAAAAGCCGAAGCTCGAGCATGCGTGGGTGTAGAATCCTGCATGAAGTGGATGCGGGTGACGATATGAACAACAAGGTGGCAACCACCTTCGCTGGAAAAAATGCACAGCATTTGAGCACGGCTTCACTTGAGGACTTTTTGTCACTTCTGAAGTCGACAGTTCCTGATGAACAGCAGCGAGAGGACATAGCCTTGTGTTTGAAACACGGCATTTCGCAACAGCACCAACCACATTCCGCGCCTTGGCTTTAACACAATCAAGATGTTTGTTTCACTCCCTTTTCTAGGTTTGGTTGTTTCGTGCCTCTCTGGTTCTTAGGTATGTTTGCTTTGCTTGAGTGGGTCATTTGTTTGTAATTGGGGTGGTTGCTTTGACAGTTTTTTACAACAACCCTATTGGGTTTAGGGGGTGGTTTGTTGGTTGTAGCGTAGTTGTTTATTTCCCCGAGGTTTGTTTGCCTCGTAGTGTTTCTGGGTTGGATTTGTTGATTGGGGTGCTTAGCTGGATTTAGGGGTTTGTGCTTTAGGTTGCAGAAGGGAGAGTGTCCTTGGTGGAATGTTCAAGACGTAGCTTTGGTCTGATTTTGCGCTTCAGGCTCTCCAATCTGACGAGGGCATGACGAGCTTCTTCAGAGCCCTGCGTTACGCAAAGGAGACGGATGTAGATGGACAGAAAGTCCCCAAGATCTCAGTGAAACAAGTAGAGCTTCTGGAAAAACTACAGTTCACCCGACCACATGGAACGACTGAGCTGAACTTCCTGCTGCGGAAGGAGATGAGCTGCTTGTTGAGGAAATGCAGGTGTGCAAAAAGCGAGGTGCAATTGTGGTTGGCACGAGTGGCATTGGCAAGAGTGCCTTCAGGTTCTATGTCATGCGGCAATGGCTGAACAATGACGAGAAGTTGCCAAAGACAAAGTTTTCAAAGGTGATTTTCAATCTTGGAGATGATGAGGATGGCGTGGTTAGTAAACTACCAGAAGTGCATAGTGTGGCAATGCTACCCGCCGAGAGACTGGCACTGCTTGACCCTTGTCGGCAGATTGCAAGCCTCCATTCCAACTCCACGCACGTGACAACCTGTGCCTCACCGCTGTCGGGACAAGAGACGAAGGTTGGCAACTACAAGGAACTCATCAAGGTGCTTGTGGAACATCAGCCTGGACGCATTCTGGTCACGCACATGTGGAGCTATGAGGAAATCAAGGCGGTGGCACCCGACGCCCGCGATGATCTCATTCGGAATTTCGGGTGCGTGCCACGCTGGTGTCTTCGCGACGATTTGACTGATGAGAACATGATGAGGCAGGCCCTAGAAAGTGTGGAACTTCAAGACTTCAAAGCATTGTATGAGTTCTTGAAGGCAAAGCCGATATCTGATTTGAGCAGAGACCGATGTTTGCCATACAAAGTCATGAACATCGAAAACGCAGGAAGCTTGTGGGGTACGAAGTACAAAGAGCTTCATCTCAAAGTTTGTGGCCAAGTTCTTCGTTGAGAAGGCTCAGCATGCAAGTCTGCGCGAGCATAGCAACTTTGCCCAGATGATGAATAACCCATTTTCCATGCAAGCCTTTGGGCACATGTTCGAGTTGGTGCAAGGCAACCATTGCACATTGGACAAGTTTGAGATGAAGGGCTCGTTCAAAAAGGCTGGCACTTTTGAGCGAAGCGATGTGAAGAACCAGACTTTGATGAAGGCCAAACTTGAGGATGGAGCTCTGCTGAAAGCCCCTGTCAACTATGGGTCGATTGACATGTTTGGGATGGTTCAGTGCGAGGATGGCAACTCTTGCCAGTTGCTCATGTTTCAGGAAACTGTCGGCAAACAGCACAGGTCTGCTCAATGGAGCGATGTTGGCAACATCGTTGGCGCTTGTGAGAAGAGGTCCAAAGAAGTCAAGAAGGTGTTTGAGTGATTGCTGATTTATTTAGTTCCGAAAGACAGCTTTGTCTCTTTCACCTGCCCAGAATGTCCGAAATTGAAGGACGCGAAAGTCTCCGTCTCAAAGGGGCGGCTGAATGTTGACATGCCAGATGCCCTCATCCATCTCAAAACATGGGAAGAGGCTCTCAAGAAGCCTTGATCGAGACGTGTGCGGAAAAGGCGCTTGCGACCCGCAGTCAATGTGTGATGTAGGGGTGGAAATAGCCGCGAAATTTACAACGCAGTCATGGTTTACAACCCTTCCAAAGCTTGAACCAAATTCTATCAGGATCTCCTCGCCTTTTTTCATTATTGGGCCTTGCTGGGGTGGATGGTGCCTTCCTACTCATACCTTGTTCCCCTCCGCATTTTGCCATCCAATGTTACGCAGATTATTTCCTTGATTTGGGTTACCGGTTAGAATATTCCCTTTTCTAACGGTTAACCACTTTTGGGGGTGAACATAGGATTGTTTTTTAGACTGTTCCTATTTGTTGGAAATGAGAAAGGGTGTCAAGTTGGACCAAGGGAGAAATTATTGAGATCTTGGGGTTGCGATCTTGGGAATGAAAATTTGTTGGTATGTAGCTTGGATTTGTTTGGTGGAATTTGTTGAGGTGGTATGTAGTTCTGATTGTTGTTATTGAATGAGCATAGGGGTGATGTTGAGATGGGGTAAGAAATGAAGATGGGTATGTGAATTTCGGCTCACGGCACGGGTCTCACGGCCCAACGCTTTACCGACGGTTCCTTTTTGCAGGATTTAGACCACAAGTTGTTGCTGCCGCTTCTTTTATTTGGCCACCCACAAACTCCCTAAAGGTCGCGCACTCAGCGCTCAGAACGCGGATTCGCTCGTTCGTTCGATTTAGAAAACTCGACATTGCGGTTCTCCTTTGGGTTTCCCAATCAACAAATGCACCCGAAGTAAATTGGTATCCTCCAAAAAAACCAGCAACCCACTTAAAGAGTTTGTTTTATGTTGTTCGCTGGTAAATTGGCGCTGTTGGCTGCTGTGGTCACGCCGGGTGGAATTGCTACATCCACTGAGCTGATCCTTTGAAGGAACTCCCTTTCAATTTTCGAGGGGGAGGGGGGGAGGTTAGACTCAGTTGTCCAAAGGACCCAGAAGACAAAGGTTACCGTTTTGGGAGCTTGACTAAGCTAGGTCCCCCAGTAGTGCCCTTTTTCCTTTCTTTGGGGGAGGGATCCCCTACACTAAGTAGAGGTGTGGATCCTATGACTTTTGAATACCTGATTTGCCCGGCACTTCGACCCAAAAGTGGCCCGATCGGGTCTTCTCTTGAGTGGGACATCCCCTATGAATGAAGCAGGCTGGGTTGACATATAGGCTATTTCCAACGCACGGATTCCTGAATTTCTCAATTCCTGAATGGATTGGCCAACACAGAAGCCAATCTTTTTGTTTTCCACGTTTTAAAGTCCAGCACCTCTTTTGCAGACTCCTCGCGTGGATTCAAAAGCAAGGTTGGCTTTGGCACATACCAGTGGATGGACGAAATCCGGTCGCACCACTTTGAAGACATGGTTGAAACCATGGTTTGTCGATATTTGCAGGGGAATCGAATCATTCCGATATCGGGTTTCTTAAGGATTTCGTCCGCAGTATCGCAAGCCAACGGGGCACTTTGGTTCCTTTGTCAGCCGACAGGAGCTGAATCCCAGATTGCTGCCGGAGGTGGAGCAGACAGTGGTCCAGGCAAGCCCGCATGGGACAAGGCTCAGAGTCTTCTGCTTGGTTCTCAGTGGGCCACTGGACAGAATCCTATTCGCGCGGGTTGGATCCAGTTGGTACGCAAGACTCCCTGGGGTAAAAAGAAACACACGAAAAAGTGCATGCCACAGGGAAACTCTCAAATTTTCCACTCGATTGGGATGGACATTCGTCAATCCAACACATGCCAAGCCAATGTTCTACCGGGGTTCGGGTTTCTTTAAACTCGCCGGTTCTCCTTGCTATGCTGCTATGTGGGTCTGTCTTTTTTGAGGATACTTCTTGTTTTTTGAGGTTTCAAAGCGAAACCAAGAGGAACACTATATTTTGGTTTAGAATATTTGGGGGGTCCCCCAACAAAACACATACATACACGCACACACAATCGCCTGGGGAAGTTTGGCAGTTATTCCCCTGCGGGTTTGCCTGAATGGGGGGTCATCCCCGGACGAAACCCACACCGATCGGCACCTGTGAATTGCTCTAGAACTTGGAGTCGTTGGCCCTCTGGGAAAAAGCAAAAAACAAGAAGTGTGAGCTCGTCGGGCCTTTGTGGCCAATCTCCTTTTTGGGGGACCCTGTTTTGAGGTTCCGAGGCCGTGAAACAAACTTCAATGTCAGCTCGGCGGCATTCTCTACCTGAGGGGTGATCGACTCGCGTGAACATAAGTTGCAACGGTAAACCCTTCGGCTTTTTTTCTCGCTAAGTCACCCCAAAAGTGGAGCTAACCTTGTTCTTCGTGAGCGCTTTCCACTTATGTACCTGGCGAATCGAACATCCAAGTAATGCTGTGGATGGAGGAAATCCTGCACCACCTAAGACACGCAGGTTTGATGATTCCCCTGTAAATGCCAGCAAATCATGGTTTCCCATGGTATCAAAGCAACCCAGGAATCGCATGCTGGTCATGTTGGTCACGGCTAGGTGCTGAACGCGGCGGTTCCGGGGGCTGAATTCCAGGCAGGGCCCCAATTCTGATGTGGACGAGCAACTGCAAGAAGCCTAGTGACCCTGCCGAGAAACAGCTTCCCTCTGATTGTTGGTTTCTTGGCTCCCAGCCATCCGGTTCCTTAGCCTTTTAGCTTTTTAGTGTTTAGTGGTCATTTCCATTTAACCTAAAAGTGATTCACTTTTAGCGGGGTCTTGAGGGCAGCCCAGGTTTGGACCTACAAGTCCGGTTTCACTCCAAATGCAAACCACACCAAGGGGTTGCCTGCCCAAACCTGAGAAGTGCGAGTGTGGTTCCCTCTCCCTTTGTCAGGCTGCTGGTTCTTAGGGGCAAACATTAGATCAAGCGATCGTGGGAGATAGATGGCACTGGTTTTGATGGTTTTATTTTACATACCTGGGCCATCTATTTACCAAAAGGCCGCTCATGAAAGCTGCAGTTGGATCAGCGGAGAATTGAAAGTGGCCACTGAAAATGCCAAGGCCACTGACCACTGAGCTACCTCCACACCATCTAGATGGGTGTTGAGTCTTAATCAACCAGGGCTGAATCCATATCTATTAATCCTTCCACACTCTTCCCATAAGGTGACGGCTGGTGTGAAAACACTTGACACTATTTCAGTTGTGAGTAGACTCCTATCACCATGGCATGCCGCGAGCTCTTTGGGGTGGCGGGGGAAGGGTGTTGAAGCCGGGTATGAACGAGACCCCTGCCGTATCAAGCCAAGAAGGTGAATGAAACATATCCAACCTATTATTTGCAACTGTTTCATGTTGTGTTATGTGTTTGCTTGTGTTTTTTTTGGGGGGGGGTCCCTTGCGTGCCAGGGGCGGTTCTATGTTGATTGGCAGAGTTTTCGGACTTGTCCATTTGTTTGTTTGGGAGCCCTTGTGCCTGCGAATCGACCACGAGCTGGGCGACATTGAGCATGCTTCACCTGCGGGATCAAAGAGGAGACTGTCATGTGATTTCCACATGGTTTGCACATGGCACATGGTTTGCACATGGTTTGCACATGGTTTGCGCATGGTTTGCACATGGTTTGCACATGGTTTGCACATGGTTTGCACATGGTTTGCACATGTCCCCCACATGGTTTTCATGCGGTTGCCCTCCCACATGGTTTTCATGTGGTTTCCACATGGTTTCCATCCCATCCATCCAATCCATCCCATCCATTGCATCCATCCAGCAAAAACATGCAAATCATGCAGGTGACAAACACATTTATGTAACAAATAATGTCCCCCTGCAAGTGGCATTCTCTGATGCCACCAGGACACTGCCTCCCCACATGGTTTTCATGTGGTTTGGTTTTCATGTGGTTTCCATGTCCCCCCACATGGTTTTCATGTGGCTTCCAAATGGTTTGCACATGTCCCCCACATGGTTTTCATGTGGTTTCCACACGGGCCCCAAATGGTTTTCATGTGGTTTCCACCTGGTTTCCATCCCATCCATCCAATCCATCCCATCCAGTGCATCCATCCATCAGGACATTAATTGGTACATGTGGATTAAGGCTGAAGTTTGAGGATTGAAGGCTTCAGCCCCCAAAGTTTGAGGATTGAAGGCTTCAGCCCCCAAAGTTTGAGGATTGAAGGCTTTTTTAAGGATTGAAGGCTTCAGCCCTTAAAGCTTGAGAATTGAAGGCTTTGGGCCTTGAAGTTTGAGGCTTCAGCCCCCAAAGTTGGAGGATTGACAATGATTGAGTTTTGTTATATGGGAATTTCAATCTTCTCAAAATGGCGGGAGCCCCTTTTGTTGAAACCTGAAAGCAAACCTGGCCATTTCAGAAACCTGGCCATTTCAGAAACGGGCCAATCTCTATTTTGAGACACACCCATGTAATGCCGTGCGTTGTTTTTTCCCGGAAGCATTGCGAAGGGCTCTTCTTCTAAAAGCGGCTGCAAGCTTCACCTGCCAATTTCTCATGCCAACTTGTCGAGAGTTACTTCACCTGCCAACTTCTCATGCCAACTTTTGGAGAGTTACTTCACGATTTACTTTTCTCATGCCAACTTGTCGAGAGTTACTTCACCTGCCAACTTCTCATGCTAACTTTTCGAGAGTTACTTCACGATTTACTTCACTATCCTAAAAAAGCAAGCTAACTGTTCTGTTGTGTACCTTCACTTCTCGACTCTTAATTCTTCTTCTTTTTCTGGCGGCGGTAGGCCCGATGGGAACTTACGAAACGCACCCCTCTGCGGGGATCGTGCGTGTCGGATCGCTCTCGCTGTGGTCCCGTGCGAATCTGTCTTGAGCCCGATGAACCCTCTGCGGAGATCGTGCGTGTCGAAGCGCTGTCGCTGTGGTCCCGTGCGAATTTGTCTTGACCGCGGCGAACCCTCTGCGGAGATCGCACGTGTCGAAGCGCTGTCGCTGTGGTCCCGCGCGAATTTGTCTTGACCGCGGCGAACCCTCTGCGGAGATGTCTGCTGTGGTCCCGCGCGAATTTGTCTTGACCGCGGCGAACCCTCTGCGGAGATCGTGCGTGTCGAAGCGCTGTCGCTGTGGTCCCGTGCGAATTTGTCTTGACCGCGGCGAACCCTCTGCGGAGATCGTGCGTGTCGCAGCGCTGTCGCTGTGGTCCGTGCGAATCTGTCTTGAGCCCGATGAACCCTCTGCGGGGATCGTGCGGATCGCTCTCGCTGTGGTCCCGTGCGATCTGTCTTGGCCCGATGAACCCTCTGCGGGGATCGTGCGCGCCTGCTTTCGCAATCCCGCGGTCGCGGGTTCGATTCCCCCCTGGTCCGCGGCAGCTCCGGCTTGAAAATCGCAGCTTTTAAGTACAAACGTAGTATGCGGAGCGTGCTCCCGCCTCTCCGGCTCGCAACTTTCAAGTACAAACGTAGTACGTGGAGCGTGCTCCTGCTGCTCCGGCTGGAAAATCGCAACTTTTTAAGTACAGACCGGAGCGTGCTCCCGCAGCTCCGGCTGGAAAATCGCAACTTTAAGTACAAACGTAGTACGCAGAGCGCACTCCCGCAGCTTGGCAGGAAAATCGCAACTTTTTAGTACAAAAAATAGTACGCGAAGTACATTCCCACAGCTCCGGCAGCACTTGCGCAGAGTCACTTGCGCAGAGCAACTTGCGCAGAGCAACTTGCACAGAGCACTTGCACAAAGCACTTGCGCAGAGCAACTTGCACAGACCAACTTGCACAGAGCACATGCGCAAAGCGCTTGCACGGAGCAACTGGCGCAGAGCACTTGCGCAGAGCAACTTGCTCAGAGCACTTGCGCAGAGCAACTTGCAGCAGAGCACTTGCAGCAGCAGCTTGCAGAGAGCAACTTGCGCAGAGCAGCAGCCTGGCAGCAATGCAGCAGTGCAGCTTGCGCAGACCACTTTCGTGAGAAATCGCGCGGCGCAGTTCGTGCAAAGCACATTGCGCCGAGCAGACTCGTGCAGAGCCAACTTGCACAGAGCCAGTTGCGCAGAGCCACTCGCGAAAAGTAGCTTGCGTAGACCCAACTTTCACAGAGCCAAGCTGCGCAGAGCCATCTTGCACAGAGCTAAGTTGCGCGAGCGTGCTTTGCAGAAACTGTGGCCGTCGTGTAAGCTTTGCTATTGATTGCTTTTCCTTTTGCTTGTAATTCGTTTCGAGCTTTACGAGCTTTACTCTTCTTGTTTTAACGGATGTAAATATGTGGGATCGAGCACTGCCATGTTTCCTCTCGTAGGACGATGAGATGGAGCTCTCATGTGACCATACACATTGAGCATCGCCGCGCGCGGACACGCTTGCCGCAGCGATGTAAAAACATGGTGTCTCCGCGGCTGGATGAGCACCTGGGGAAAATGCTTTCGGGCCAATCGTCCTCTAGTTTTTTTCCCCTGGGCATCTTCCATGGGGGCTTTTGTGGGGTCTCCTCCAAGGCTTGTGTGTATAGGGTAGACAAAATGGAGCAAAGTCAGACAATCTTGTATTTGGAGTTGTGAGCACTCATTTTGAATTTGGTGCCTGGTTGGCTGGTAGCGGAAACCGCAATGATGCACACAGCTCTTTCAGGGTGGTCATAAGGTCTCATACCAATTCCACAATTCTACCACCAAGCCGCTACCCGAAGTAAACTTCTTTGGGAGCTCCTGTTGTTGTTGTTGTGTGTGCCAGCGTGGTACGGGCAGAGTGGTGGAGTTCCTCTTAGAGATGCTTCGCTTCCTACCTTCATCCAAAGTCGAACATCTGCGCGTAAAAGCTGAAGTTTTATTAGCCCACTCGCATCCGTGTCTTGTTTGTTGCAATGCGGGGTTGTCCAACCTGCAAATCCCTAAGGCATTGAGTGGAACAGGATGTGTTTCTTGGATGGGTCGGGGAGGGGACGTGTTTCTTGGATGGGTCGGGGAGTGGAACCGGATTTCTTCCTGCGGGGTCTTAGTGGAGCTGGATTTATTCCTGGGGGGTCTTTTCTCGGGTTGTTCTTAGAGGGGTCTCTCTAGGTTTTTTTTGGGGGGTTGTGTTTTCCTGGAAAGTCCTTCTGGGGTTGTTTTGGGGTCGTTCGGGTCGGATCGAATCCCAGGTAACATCGGAGCACTGTGGCTCTTACCTGCCACTGCTGCTGCTGTCCCCTGTCAAGGTGACGGCAGAGGCACGGATCGTCTCCTCCAATTGTGTGTGTTGTGTTTTTGTATTTTTCGGGGAGACTACTTCCATGTGCTGAAATGAACTTGTTTCTCTCTCTTTTTTCCGCTTGTTGGTTTTGAAGGGGATCTGTCACTACCGGACATATTTTGATTCAAGCAAATGCAAGGCTACAGCATTCCATTGTATTGGCTTCGCAACCAAGGCTTTCCCATCCAGTAGAAAGAACATGCATCGAAGGCTCACCTCTCTTCACTGTTCTTGGCCAATGTGTTTTTGTTTTTTAGTTTCTTGGTCCTGTTCATGTTTGCTTGTTGCGTCTGAAAAAAAAACAACAACAACCTTTTGCCAGCCCATACCAAGAGTAGAGGTGCAGTGCCTGGAATCCCTGGAGCCTGAAAACCTCGGGCCATGGAATCGGATCCCAGACCCAGACGTCGACTCTGCGGAAATGCAGGGAATGAGAAATGGAATTCGACCCCCGAACTAAACCATCCGACTGCCTGGACCCTCCAAATTCCAACTTAAAAATGGGGTTGACCCCCAAAAGTATGGGGTGATCTCCCTTTTTTATGGGTAGTCTGAGGGTCCAGGTGGTGGTTTTCCGAGGAAGCCCTCATTCCCTGAGAACCAAGGATTTTCGGGAATCAGAGCCGAAGGGAGTTCCACTTGAAGAAATTTGCCCATTGGCTTCACCCCACGAGCTACCGAGAAAGCTGGTGGCCAGACACCTTTGGTGTGTCATAGGATTTCCGGGTCCCACAATGGGGTTTCGGTTTTCAGTTTTGGGCTTTCGGGTTCCCGTTACATCGGCCCTGTTTGGAAAGTCCAATTGTTTTCCTTGTTGAGACTATGTGTTCTTTGTTTCTTTGGCCTGCTCAAAGTTGTTCTTTTTGGCAGGGGGTCATAGTCATCAAGTTGATTCGTGGCGTCTTGTGTTTCTTTCTTGTTTGTTTCCCTTCTCGGGGTGGTTTATCATTTTTCGGGATGGGGCTCCTTTCAGGAAACCCGGAGTGGTCGTTTGGATTGGGGGTTCAGAATTTGCACCCGCACTTCTTTGCCTTTTTGGGGCTCCATGTTTTTTTCATCCCCCACTTGAGGGATGACAAACCAGCCCAAAGCATCCAACTCACTCGAGGGCAAGCTGGCTGAGGCTCCCTTGTTTTGTGTTGGCGTTCAAGGTTTCTTGGTTTCCCCACGAGGCGGCAGCCTTACGCTTCACTTTTGACAAGCACGAGGCGCGGAGAGCATGGGTTCAGAGGTGTTTTTGGTTTTGCCTTTCGGGTGTTGAGCCATTTTTTCCGCTCAACGCTCGGCAGAGTGAGTAATATTCGGTTCGCACATGGACCTTAATTATGGCCGAGTCACCCTTTGTTTCTGCTTGAGTCTCTACATGTATGTGCTAGGAGTCCTATTGGTTGGGAGCGATATGGAATCAGACCACTTTTTGGGGTAATAGGGCCCCCTTTCTATTGATAAACAGGTTGGTTGATTAATATGGTGTCGACTCCGAGGATCTACCAGGACTTTTGGTTTGGGACATGGGCGCCGCAAAAGCTGAAAGCTTTGGGGTCAGGTTTAGAGTGGTTCGGAGTGGCTTCGGCCAAGTATCTCCTAAGTACGGCCGGACCTCGTCCCAAGATGCTCAGGGTGAGGTACCTTGGTTCAAACTAGCTTGGTACCGTTCGCTTTGTTTAAAGCACAGTTCACTTTAGTACCTTTAAAGTTCCTTGGGTTTAAACTATTATTGTTTTTTTGTTTGTTACCTTGGAACCTTTTTGGGCTTAAAGGGAACCCCGTCCTTGACTCAGGGGGTTGTACCTTTCGCGTAGGTCTGCAGCAAGGGATGTGTAGCCCTGCAGTTCGAGCAGAAGCTGCCGATTTGTGTGGCCAACGCGCACTTGGAGGCGGGTCCTCTTCCCCCGTTGGCCGGTCAGATAGGGTATTGTGAGTTGCCCAAAGCCGACCTTTTGACCTTTTCTTGGCGATTCCCAGCCATTCCCTTGGGTGTGGTTGATTTGTTGTTTAGTTGTTGTTGGTTGGTTGGTTTCCATTCAGGCCACAAGTTGTTCACGTTGCACCTTTTAGTTCAAAGCCCTAAGCGCAATGTGGGAACCCCGGATCTAAGTATCCCTAGTTGATTTTTGATAGAGGGGTGTCCCTCTACTATGGGGACTCCAGACCCTTGTGAAAAAAACACACCCTACTCATAGGACGGGATCAGCTAAGGATAGCAAGACTTTCCAGTGGTTATTCGGGAAGCCAAAGGCCGGCCACCTTTTATTTTGGACTGGAAGCTTCCCAGAGAAGTGATATCTTCCGGTTGGCCTTCGGGGGATTTGGCAAAAGGAAGTCGTGTCTGCTTCAGTTTCGGGGACCCTCGAACCGTGCGTAGGCGGTCCAGATCCAATTTGGACAACTCCCACCGAGAGGTTTGGGCAAGCAATCTTCAATTCTTCAGGTGTTGGACAAAAACATGCCAAGACCAAGCTTCCCACGTTTCTGTGGGCCCCAGTTGCTTCATGTCTCCCGTCCTCGCATGGTTTCCAAATTGAAGGCGGGGCATGGGAAGCTGGAGGCGCGGACAAAAATGGAACATGCATGGCGAGTGGCGACTGGGGAGTGAGATGGGGCGATTCTCCTCGCAACGTCTTTACGGGTCCCCCAAATGGAGTTGCTTTGGTTTCTTTTTGGCTTCCCAGGCAAAAAGACAAAACAAGGGCGCCGAGCAAAACAAGACACACCCACTGAAGAAATCATCATGTCAAGTATTTAACATGGCTTGTAAACGGGTGCGTATGTCTGTCTGTCTATGGTTCTGCATTTTCTTTATATCGAGCTGGCCGATTCGGGACAGGGTCTTGGCCTCATGAAGGTTCTTGGCTGTTGGCCTTATGGCTGGGGTGCCTCCTTTCCGACTTCTGACATCTAGGTCCCCCAGTAGTGCCCTTTCTCACCCCTTTTTTGGGGGAGGGTTCCCCTACTAAAATAGACTACAGAAAAGAGGTACCCTTTTAATTTCTATGTTTACGTAGTTCGCGGATACTGGTCGTTAGTCGTTTCGTAAGTTTGATGGAATCATAATTTAAGCCATTGTGGCCTGTATGTTCCGGCATTTCTTCCAAACGGGTCTACGGGCCTTTGAGGTCGCACCCAAAACATCAGATGTGAAATCAGGTCGATTTGGCTGTGGGGCAAAATTAACCCACCAGGAGACCGCAGGTTTTAGTCCTTGTTTCCATTTGCCAAGGTTCCATTTGTGGCCCTAGTTTTGACCCACACCTATTTGGGTAGGAATTTTATTTGGGGACCCTTGGGTGAACATCGTTTGGGTGGGGATTCATTTCCACCAACCACTTTTGAAGGGGTTCCCCATTAAAATTCATAGCCATTTCATAAACCACCCCCCCTCCTTCCAAATGGCCCAGATCCATGGCCGCTGGATCGGAAACCCCGGCGATCAAAATGTATCCAGCAAACCAGGGCGAAGGTGGAACCTCTCTACTGGAGGACCTAGTAATATGTTGCTTCACTGTTCTTGGCTTGTTTTTTGGTTTTTTAGTTTTTTGGTTCTGTTCATTTTTACTGGTCTGCAAAAAGCAGTCAGTTTTTCGCCAGCCCATACCAAGAGTAGAGATGAAGATTTTGCCTCACTGGGGAGTCTCCTTTCCGACTTTCGATCCAAAGGCTGTTGATGGGCCTTCAAACAACTCCTGGTTTTGAGACCGGGTCGTTACAACCACCGGTTAGAGGGGGTGTCTAATGGGTTTAGATTTTAGGGTCTTCCATTGAAAGCCGAAGCCGATCGGAGCCCCTGGGATATTTTTTATTTTGCCTTATGGCTGGGGTGTCTGCTTTTCGCCTTTCGCTAGAAAAACTTTCCCGAGAAAAGCCCCCAAAGTGGACCAATCCGTCCAAGTGGAAAGAGCCGGTCCAACCACATGTTCTTAGCCAGTGCTGTGTGGACCACTATCTAACTGTTTACCTTTTTCCGGAACTGCGCAACGTTTGTGGCATACTAAGGTACTGTCAAAGAACACGTTAAACTTTTCTCTTCACTGGTTTTGGCTCCGTCTGAAATCGGAATGCCAAATTGTAGTGTAGAATTCCCATAGTTTGCCATTGGATTGCCAAATTTGGATCTGTAAAATGGTAGTTGATGTTGCCTTTGGACTTTTTACACTGACCCCCAGACCAAACCCCAAAGAAGAAATACGACAGTCCGCCCAGCTTTTGGGCTGATTTATCCCCAATTTTCTCTCATGGTCTTAGTCTTAAGGGGTATGTTCCAGTGGTCTGCTGGTACAACATTTGCTGTTGGACGTATGCCAAGTTGTTCTAACCGATCTGCTTTGTGAGCTGAGTGTCAAAATGCAAAACGTGCGATTTGATAAATGGATTTCACCCTATGAACGCAGGGTTGATTGAATGCAAAAGGGTGTGGGCGGGAAAGCGAACTGGAGTGGGCTCATTGAGAAACAGAAAATGCCTGGCTAGGGACAACCCGAGCTTTTGGCGTGTTAGCAACTGCTTTTCTCAGAATATCAAAGTGGTGATGGATGCTCCCGATATTTCAATGGAGCCAATATCTAGGTTCCTATATCTTCACAAGTTGGGGGGCTTGATTTGTGGGCGACGATCATTGAGGTGACCAACCCTCAAGTGAGTATAGGTTCAAGGATCGCTTCTTCCGGAGAACCACCAGAAAACCCGGAAACAAGCAGAAAAAGTGACTTGGCAGCGAGGGATGGTCTTTCGGGATTCAAGGCTTGGAGCTTGTCGGATGCATCCGAGATAGATGCGAGGAGCTCGTTTTTTTTTTGCCGGTTCCAGGCGCGGAATGAGATGTTTGCCGGGGGCCAAGGCTAGAGGTTTCGAGAGAAGCAAATCCCATGACCCAGGATCTAAGTAGAACCCGTCCCACTAGGAAAGTGTTCCCTCCAAAAGTGGGCTGAATCCAACCCCTAAAAGGGGACACCCCCCCCCTATTAATCAAGCAGGGGTTTATTAATCCGGGGTTAACATGAACTCGGCTCTCTTTCTGCTTCTTTTGGACATCGCTTGAACTTTAAACCTTGCTTGCGCGTCACTTGGGTCAAGTTCACGTCCCGTTTGCTGAAATGATACGTATGTGTGTGTTTGTTTCCGGCGTTGTTTTGAAGGGGAATCCATCACTACTGTGTATGGACCGAATTCTGCACCACCTAAGATTTCTCTGTGAATGCCAACAAAATAATGGTTTCCCGTGTTATCAAACCGGTGCGAAATGGATTTCGTCCATCCATCACTGGGACAAGCAAATGGAGTTAAATGGAGCTTCCTCTCAAAGCGTTGCAAATGGAGCCCTACTGCCAAGGCCGAGCGGTGGATTTTTTCCAGAGCCTTCTTCGCAGGCGTCACTACAGACAACTAGCCACCTGCGTATGTGTCAAATGGGTGGCTCAAAAAATGGGTGGCTCACTTGCCGACCTTGTAGGTTCTCTTTTTTTGGGCAAGTGTTCGTCATGGTTCACGTTTATTCCTGGGTCCGTTGGGCAACTGAGCAAAAATCAAAACCCGGGCAAGTGAAGGTTAGTAAGGGACGATCCCAGCCTTGGTTGACCATTTTTGTACCGGGTTTTCATTGTGACTCAACTGAAGGTAGTTTTCCTTTCTACGAATCCTTTTACGCCAACCCTGAAAGGGTACCGAGCCTCAAAACAGCACACACCCGCAGGGAAGATCTTAAGGAACGAAACTGCAGCTCGTGGCTCAGAATTTGCACTTGACTTGCATGATTGATATGTTTTAGAGGAACTCCAAACCGGATTTCGGTTTTCCTGCTGGTTTCCCTTTGAAACCACCAAACAGGGATATTCTCAAATTAAGTCCCAAACTGTGGGGACCGACATGCAACCAAAAGCATTGCATTCATAAAGCCAGACAACACATAGGCCGAGTTTCACAAGTCAGTCCCCAACCTAGTCTGCTAACAGGCCTTCAGCGCTGGCTGGATGGTTGGTGGGTGGGTGGGTGAGTGGGTTGCTTGCTTGGTTGGATAGCCAACGTCAGAGGAGAATTGTCGCTGACAGCGGCCATGCAGACGGCCAACGTCCATATATAGATAAAACATAAAGTAAATAAATACATAAATAAATAAACAAATAAATCTATATATTTTTATATACATGTGTTAAACTGAATGCTACCTGAATGCCTGATGTGAAAGACCTGTGATGTGTATCAAATCCCCCGCCCCCTGGTAATTTCCTGGAGAATTGTCTGCAGATGGTTTCTCAGATTGAAAGACTATGGGAAAGATGAGAACTCTTACGCTACAACTGCTGTTGCTGACACTGCCAACGTAGACTTGCTATACTTGCCGTTTAGGGCCAACAAACAGAAATCCGAGCAGCATTCCCTTGAAAAGCCGACACACACAACAAGCTAATCCTCCAAAAACCTTCCTTTAAAACCAGCAGACAGCCCAACTACCCAGGCGGGCTTATCACAAGCGAATCTCATCGGCCCCCGATTGGTTTTGGTATGCGCCGCATGCCACAGCTTGGATGTTCGGCCAGAATTGTATGTGGTTAGCCACCTGGGTTATAACTGAACAACCCCCCCTCAAAACAAACTAAGGTTACAGTTACTTGGGGGGGAACTTAGAAAGTGGGCTATAACCCGGGCTGCCTCAACCACTTACTAACTTGGCCGTTCTTTTTCGTCGGCCTGCACACCCCTAGGCTCAGATCGCGGAGCGCTTCCCGGCCCGGGACGGGCATCTGCTGGTGGTGCTGGGGGCCTGGAGCCAAGCGCCGGCATCGGTGTTTTACCGGTTTGTAGGGATTCCTGGAAAGGGCAACCAAAGAGAAAACATAGTTTTACGGAACCGAACCACCCAGGTGTGTACGGCTGCGTTCTTTTTTTTTATAAGGAAAATATGCTTGTTTTTAGCTGGTTGTTATGTTCAGGTGTAGTGGGTTGCCAAAGGCGACGTTTGCTAGGATTGTGCAGTTACACTGGGGTTCCTGAAGCTACCCCGAATATAGAAAATATGTGGTTGCTGTATTTGGGGTCTGCTTCAAGCTTATTTTGGGCTCACTTGCCCAAAGCTGACCTTTTGACCTGCAGACTAAAACTGTATTTTATGTTCTGTTCGCCTGCCCCCAATGGAATTGTCCAAGTGGACTTTTGTAGGTTCCATGTTAATTTGCAGGAGGGTAAACGAATGATCAAAACTGGCATTGCGTCCTCCGAATGCTGCAATCAAACAGTAGAGCGTATCCCGGTAAAACCAAATAGCCTTCAGTTTGGTCACAGCTTGCGCATGATTTTTGCGTTTGATTCTTGAACCATAGCCAGACTTATCGCACCTTCTTGCCCTAAAGGGCCCTTTTGGGTTTCCTCCATGTCCCTTTTTGGAACCTCCAAAAGTGGCAGTGTCAAGGGACACGTCGGACACCAGCAGTAAATTGACCAACTTGTGAAGGGGAGCCCTTCGACCAGCGAAGTCGGTCAGGGGCGCTTTGGCTGTTTGAGAAGCTTTGACACTAGAGCCCTTTTTCCCATTGTAAACTGGTGAGCACATATATACTTGGACCCTCAAACTAACCATCAAAAGGGGGATGTGTTCACCAACCACAATTTTGGGGCTTTGACCGGGTATATTATGTATATATATATATATATGTGTGTGTGTGTGTGATATGATGACAAATTTGGGAAACTCGGACGTTTTTTTGTCTTTTGACTAGGGAGGACGCAGCTTCGGCCGGCAACATGGCCAGAAGGCGATCTTGACCCCATTTGGGTGGCTCGGTCTTTTTCGGGGGTAACCCTATAGGGAACACAGGGAGCACCCAAATCCGATTTTGAGACACATCCCCCGTTTTCCTTTGGCTGATTTGTGGGGCATGTAGAAGTCTCACATCAATCGTGAGATGTTTGGCGAGGACTTGAATTACCGGCTCCAGGCGCGCCCTGCGGCTTTGGGCCCAAAACTCCGATTGTTTTCGGGCCCTCAAAACGAGCTATTTTGTTGAGGGCCCTTGAGGAATTGGTCCGGGTTGGGGTTCTTCATTGGAGGGCCTAGGGGCCATGGTTTTGGTTTGCATATTTGACTGGGTATGGTTTGTGTTTTTGCGTTCTTTCCCCAAAGAGGCAACTAAAGGTGATCGGCGGTTTGTTGTGTTTGCCATTCCTCCGCCGAATGCCCCATTTCGGATGGACATGTGGGGACTCGCTGAATGTCCCAGAAAGACCAGGCGACTTGTTCATCTTCCCACATCCTTTTGGTGGGATCTTCGTACTTTTGACAATGCCTAGATAGCCAAGTCGCGTTTGTGTTTTTGCCATCACTTTCCCAAACAAGTCAGTAGTTGCTGGTTGAAAAAGCGTTCACACGTGGTCCGGGTTTTCTAACTCCATGACCTCCTTGGCTGGAGCTTGGGAGCCTTTCGTGACCAAGCTAACATCGAGACCCGCGGATCGTTCGAGATTTCGGCGAAAATGGGGTCTCTTCGAAAAAATTGGCATCGTGGGGTAGGCTCAATATGGGTTTGTTTTTTTTTGGGGGAATCCTCCCTTTTGGGGGCGTGACAATCGAGTCGAATGGGAGCGCCACTGTGTTTCCGAAACTGAATGCTGGAGAGCATTTTGAGGATATCTTACACGGGCCCAGTCTCTTCTCTGGTTTCAATTGGTGGGTGTTCGGTTTTCTGCTTCTTGGTCCATTTTCTTCGGCTTCTGGTGGTGAACACATCTTCAAACCACCATTTAGCAGGAAGTTTTTCGGATATCTTACCACCATGGACCCAGTTGTCTTAGCTTTCTCCGTTTCACGGCCGCCTCTGGCTTGATGTGTTTGTTGTTGTGTGCGGCAGTGCCACGACCCCCAACCCGGTCTCCAAAATTACAACCCAATGATAAGTCTCCCTAAGTGGAGTCAACCTCGCTCGTCATTGGTGCGTTCCACTTACTAACTTGGGGAATCGCACACCCAAGTATTGAAAACATATTATTATTTGCTTTGTTTTTTTGGTGGGAAAAAACAACAACTAGAAAACAGAAACACGCCGCATGCATTGTTTTTTAGATAAGAATCCAAGCGCCACCTGCGGCGTTCGGATCGGGTCGGCTGGGTTTCTCATGGGATGGGTCAGGGCCTTCAGAGCTTTACGGAGCCCACGAAGAAGACGCCTTTGGCCTCACGGTGCCCCAAGTTCCTGGCGGAGCTACTCGACAAGAGCAAAAGCCATAGGGATCATGGGTTCGGGGGGTGGGTCTCCTCCAAGAAGAGGTGGGCTGCCCCATTTTTGTTTTGAAAGTTGCGGCCTAACTTGCCTAGGTGCCCCTGTAGTGCCCTTTTTGACCCCTTTTTTGAGGGAGGGTTCCCCTACTAAGATAGACTACAGAAGAAAGTTGGTACCCTTAGTCTAACCTCTCCACCGGGAGACCTTGTTGTTTTCTGGACGGTTAAAGAAAAGGTTCTTCACTCTCTTGGTGCCTGCGACCCCTTGGAGTTCTGTGCAGCCCTGATGTGGGAGCGTCGGATTGCTCCCCTGCCAACTCGCATGGATGTCTTCGAGAACCCGCAATTAACATGCCCAAAGAGTCCATATGGGTGTAGCGCAAAATTTAAGAGCCAGGGGGGGTTGTTGGTTTGAGTCTGCTTTTCCAGGGCTTCATTGTGGGGCCCTATTCTTGGAGCCACGTGCCACCACTGTCTAAAGACCAAGCGGAACGTGGAAAGGGTTACCTATACGTGGAGCGGATGTCTGGGATCCACTAGGCGCTCTTTTAGGAACCGTTTCTCGGCTTTTCAAAGCCAACGTCCAAGAACCCTTTCATGATGGGGTTGGGAGTACCTCAAAGGCACTTCCCGCCATCCGCAAGGAAGCCTAAGAAACCGGCATGAGCCGGGGACGGCACCATTTGGAATCCGGTTTTTGGTCAGGAGAGCCAAGGGAAAGCAAACCGATTGGCCGAAACATCAACTTTTATTTGGTCGAGTGATTCCATTTCCCGGTATCGGCAACCAAGAGGCTTCCCACCCAGAGGCTTCCCACCCAATACAAAACCAAGAGACACATCGGGACACCAAAAAGGGCGAAAGGGGAAGCCAAAAGTACGGCCGGCCCCATCTTCTGCTCTCACGTGTTTGTTTTCTTCGAGGGCACAGCATTTTTTTGATGGGTTTTACAGGAACCACCCCGAGCTTCGAGCTTCTTGGGCTTGAAGCATTTGAGCGGCCAATGACCAGTTCAGACGGTTTTTTGCTGGCCCGTCCACGCAGGACTCAGGAGCTGAGATGTTGTGTGTGTGTGTGTGTGTGTTTTTTCCTGGAGTCTCCATGACCCTTTAAAAATAGGTCCATGACCCCATTATTTAGGGCACTGACCCCATGTTTAAAGGGTCATGGAGACTCTAGGTTTGGGGTGCTTTTTCGGCCACCTCGCTCCGTGCCTTCCCCGCCGGAGCGCCCGAGCGCGGCCTGAGGTTCGAGGATGCGGTGGCCAAGTGCTACTCAGGGGAGGTGGTGCAGTTGCTGGAGGTGTGAAGTCGGAAAATCGGTCAGGAGTTCGGTGATTTCGAGTCGGGTTGTTTGGGGGCAACAGAAGCGACCTGAGATTTGATCATGTTTGTTTTTTTCTCGTTTTTGGAGGGCCTTCTAGCTTTTTTTGATCAGCTACACGCCCGGGGTATCCGCTGCTGTGAGGAGGAGCATGGCTTGCTTTCGATTACTGGGCTTCAGTCCGCCGCTTGCCCAACATGATGCTGCTTGGGGCGCAATGGATGATGCGCATCCTGAGCTGCCCTTTTTTGCGGCCCTGCATTTGGGTGGGCGCACCAAGCGCGAGGATCGAGGATGGGTGTCTACCTGGCCCCTCTGAGATCCTACGCCGGCAGCTGCACAACATTGACGAGCTTCTGCCCTTAGTTGAGGCATGCCACTCCGGCACAGCCACCCGGCTCCAATCCGGCTTTTGGAGGTGTTCGGGGGTTCCTTAGTGGGCTCGAAAGATCATGAAATCGAGTTTTTTTTCTTTGAGCAGCGTTGTGGGATCACTCAGTGTTTTTTTTCGTGATATAAGGGAATCTCCCCCTGTTCTGGGTTAGTCTTTGCGAAACCCTGTTTGTTGTATCAGAGACGTGGATTTCAATTCCCACAGCCCTTGTTTGGGGGTTGCTTAGTGGTGGTTCCTTCGTACCAGCCATCCCTTTCCTCAAGTCTTGTGGGGTCAGCTGGTCTAGTGGTTGGGTTTCCTTTTGACCCACAAGGTAAACTTTTCGCGACCGCCCAGTTTCCACTGATTTGGGTAAACCCTTAAGAGAAAGGATGTTCACCCCAAAGTTTTCCGGCAATGCCCCATGTTGAAGGGAATTCACCCCATGTATATTGAGGGCGTTTCCTATTTTGTAGCCAAACAAAAGCTCATCACCGGGCTTCGGCCGGCAACTGGCCACTGGGAAGATCTTTCAGCTTCTTTCTCCTTAAGAGCTACACTCCCGACCTTTCAGCCGGAAGCTCCCGCAATTGGCCGATCCTGGAAGTGAAGTCCCGAAGGGAGCTTCCATGTTAGGGGTATGACTACTGGACGGGACCTCTTGTGTTTGTTTGCCATTTTTTCCGGCGAAGTCTCTCATGGTTGTGGAGTGCAGGGTTGTGGATTGCCACTTGTACTTCAAGAGAAGGTGGGAATCCATCATTTTGGCTCAGGGTAAAACATCTGGGTGGGCAGAATTGGTTTGGTTCCCTTTGGTCTCCCTTTTGGGCGCCTTCCATTGGCTTCTTATTTTCCCCGGTTGGTTTTAAAGGGAATCTATCACTACTGGGAATATCTCATTCTTCCCAGGGGGCTTAAGCAAATGGAAGGGGCGCAATTTTCTGAGGGAGCACTCACGAAAGTTCGCCAAGCTCCCGTGACTGGGGTATTTGGATCAAACTTCCCAGACCTCCGGTGCAGTTTTCTCAACTTGTGTTGGATGAGGGGTGGCGGGTTCTTTTAATTAGGCGACCGCCCGAACTTGCGGCTTGCTTTTGCTTCCCCCTCTAAAACCAACCAAAAAGGGATCCAACTCAAGAAAACAAACACCCCGTGATTCCGGTGTTCAGACTCGGCCACGGGTCTTGAGTTCCCCCAAGGGGCCATTCTCCAGATTCCACAAGCGGAATCTCCGTGGAAAAGGGCCCAATTGGATTCCATGGTTAATCGTCGGATGTGGCTTGCTTGTGTTAGTCGGCCTCTTGTTGTTTTTTTGTTTTTTCCCCCTTTTTTTTCTGGTACTGCATGTCTCTTTCAATGACCTGACAAGCTCAGTGGATGTTTTGGTTTCGGTGGCACCCGTTTTATGGGCTCTGCATGGTTTGTGACCCGTGCCTTGCCGCCCTTGTGCTGTTTGGAGTTTCCTTAACGAAAAGGTCCCGAAGAGGGTCCTTAGGTGCCGCTCCACCTTCATGCCAGAAGCTTGAGTCGCGTTTTGACCATACCCAAAGCCAAACTCCCTGAATGCCTGTCTACTTTCTGCTTTTTGGGAAGACGCCTTTTGGTGGTAAAAAAAAAAAAAAGAAGCTTGGTGACTTTAACTGGATAAAAAGTCATACCATTTCTGAATTTCTGTTTACTTCTTACTTTTCGGCAAGATCTAGTTTGGTGGTAAAACAAAAAGTGCGGCGACTGTTTTCGGCCATCGGAAGTGAGACCTCCGGCCAGACGTGCCAGCTGCATGGCCCTCGAAGATCCTACGGCTTTGAGGAAGCCCCCGCCGGCCTCCCAGCCCGAGATCGCAGACATCGCGGACTCAGATTGATCGGCAGCTGGTGAGGTTCAAGCAACGAAAACTACTCAGTGATTCCTTAATGGTTGACTCCTGTGACTAAGCTAAATCGAAGCGCCAAAACCCTAGTCACAACCATGGTTATACCTGGACAACTGGGGTTGCCCTTATAACCATGGGGTTACAAGCTGGTTCTTGGTGAAGGCCTGCTCTCTCTTGCGGACGTGCTCACTTCTCAAATGGCTATGGCTCAAAATGTTCAAGAGCGAGACCTTCCGGTTTTTTTTTTCGTCCTTGGCTCCATCTACGTACCTGGACCCTCAAACTACCCATAAAAATGGGATATCACCCCATAATTTTGGGTGTCAAACCCATTTTTAAGTTGGAATTTTGAGGGTCCAGGTACCTTCTGGCGGGGTGTTTTTTTAGTCCCATGTTCTTTGAGCCACAGCCATAGATCGCCTCAAGGAAGGCCACCCGTGGACCCAAGCCTGGCGAAGGGCTCACCTGAATCCCATGGCGAACGAGCGGAAGGAACAGAGGCTCACCTCTAAAAAACACAACTTTTCTCAACTTTTTGGGTAACATGGGCTATATGTCTGTAAAAGATGAGAACTTCCCCGGGGCTTGGAGTTTTAAGGAGTAAGGAGGTGTCCTTAGTTGTTTTGGTAGAAAGATCGATGGTGATTCCTGGTTTACCTGGTGGTTTAATCATCCACCAGGGCCATCTATTTCCCCTAAGAGGACACCTATCTATGGTAAGGAAGCCAACACCGGGGGAACCGCCTCAAGTTGCGCCTTCAGTTCCACGCAAAAACCTGGACGCTACGGGTCCCGAAGATCGACGGGCCTCTTGGGCCTCTTGGAATGGATGAAGCCGCAAATAAAGCCGTCTTCTCCCTTTCTTTTTTAAACAAAAAGTCGTTGTTTGGCGAAGATCCATTTGGGCTTTGCCAATGCGCAGGTGCCGCAACGTTTTTAAGGGTGTCTTCAACAAAAAAAGGAAGAGAGCGGGGCCCAAAGCCTTCTTCTTTCAGGATGGTATGCAGAAAGCCTCATATTGGGATGATATTGAGATGAACTTGGATTAAGATAAATGGGTTCCAGAATCTAAAGGACAATGTATGACAATGTATGAAGCACCCAAGAGCCAATTTATTTATTAGAGCCCGAGATGCCTCTGGGGCATGAACGTTGAATCACCGGGCATCGCACGGCCTGAGGTGCGATTCCACCCCACGTGCTCCGCCGCGCTTCGGAGTTGTCGAAAATGGTGGCCCGATTGATTCTTGGTTCCCAGCGGTCCCGATATGGCCATGGGTCAAGATGTCATACCCCACAGACTCCCAATGGAGTTGGGGCCTTCAAACAACCTGGTTTTGAGACCCCCAACCTCCGGGGTGTCTAATGGGGTCGGGTCTTCCATTGAAAGCCCCAGGAGCCTCCACAACCCCCAATAAACATCCCAACCCAACCACTAAAATAGGTTCTAAAATGGGTAGTGCACCTACCCCAAAATGGTACCATTGGTTTTGACCCACAGCCGTATGTTGTTAGTGTTTTAGAGTTTAGTGGGGGGTTCCTTTTCACCCACCAAAAGGCAAACTTTTAGCAGGGGATCGGAGGACAGTATTGGAGATCCTTTGCGCTTCACCAAGTTAGGGGTTCATACCAGTCCATGCAGGTGTCTGTTTGTTTCGAGGGTACCCTTTGCACCTTGGTTTTAAAGGGCAGCCAGGTAGCAAACCAATTTTTGGGGGGGACCGGTCCCAAATCCCGATTTTGACACACGTGCACCCTTGGGTTTATGCATGCCATTAGGAACTGGCATGGCCAACTCTGACCAAGTGCCCATGCCAGCTGGCGCTCACCGAGTATTTGGTGCCAATGTTTGGTAGCGTCTCGCGTCTTGGCCCTTGACCAAGATGCTGATGGCTAGCATTGGGCACAGACCGAAATCCTATGGCCCAGGTGGATCTGGGAGATCGGTGCGTCGCTTTTGGATGGTACCCGTGGATCCCAGGCAATTTCCGCGTTCTTGCAGTTCACTTTGTCACCTGTACACTCCCGACCATGGAAGCTCCCAGAAGGCCTGTGGAGCTTCCATGTTAGCCTGGAGGGTACAGGGAAACGGAAAATCACTGGGTTAGGGTACGTTGACCAGGTCATTCAGACGAGCTCTTCTGCCGATGCCGCCTGCAGCTTTCCAGAGAACGTGAGCTTCAACCCTCCAAGTGTCCAGAGAAAGCACGGGCGACTTTTTCACAAGTTGCTTCATGTATTCTGGGGGCAACCAAAGATTTGTGACGGCTCAAGTGGCAGTCGTATACTTTTCTCAAGGATTTGGTTTGCGACGTGCTAGTTCAGGTTCGTTCCATGACCACTCCAGCGGCACTTTTTTTTTTTACTTTTCTGACTTGTCCACCCAAACATTCGAAGACTTTCAAGCTTTTGTGCTCGTCTTCACTTCAGTAGCCGGAAAGCAGGGGCTTGATGTTCTTCAAAGCCCTTGGGACCAAAAGGTATCCTTTGAAACAAAAGGCAAACTAACCCAGAAGTGTCAATTAGATCCACTTCCCAGAGGGTCGTTCAGCTCCTTAGGTACCAAGGGACCCTCTGGAGATTGAAACGCAGAGGGGACCTCTGCGCGTTTCTCGCGCGCGCCAAGCGCAAAACGCCACGCGCCCTTCCGGCGGACGCCTTCCGGCCGCCACTTCTCGGATGCCTTGGGGCGCGCCCAAGAGCAGCAGCAAGGAGCAGCGGGGCTGCGCCGCGGGCTTGCAGCGCCTTTGATGGGCCAAACCGGGAAGACGGAATCGCGGCTTTTGAAGGTCCAGACATGGCAGGGGATGTTCCCCAGACCATTTCTCAGGGCAAAAGGGGGAAGACGGAATTGCGCCTTTGAAAGGGGGTCCAAACAGACCCAGGTCGCAGCTGGCCGGCGTTCTTTTTGCTTTTCTTAATTCAATCCAGAACCCCACGTGTCCACGAAGCAGTGGGGTATTCCCTGAAAGGATTTGCAAGGTTTCCAAACATCGCTTAAAACCATGTGCTTTCCGTGGTTCAAAGGAAATCTAACTCTTGGCTCGATTTGTCTCATTGGTTCAACCGTTTTGTGTGGACCGGTGGATGGACTAAATCCTCTTTGCACCGATTGGGATGGACAACACCCTATGAACACCTTGACAAAAAACCATCCCAACCGCGAATTCTATTTGTTCCATCACTCTTCTGCCACGCGGGTTTGTCTCAAATCAGCGCGACCCCGAACAAACAGACGGGTGTTCGTTTATGCCGCTGAATTCCCCGAAATTCGAACTTTGGTAAGTTGTTGGTAGCCTATAGGTTACAACCCACTTAGAAGTCCCCCGCCGTTTAGTGGCGTTAGCCTTGTCATCAGGGGTTATAACCCAGGCGGCGCTGCATAGCTCACCGATTCGCGTCGAAGTTCAGAAAGCAAAGCCAGGATTTGCCAGAAATCCCAGGCGTTTGGCATTTGGAGGCGTTTGCTGCTGGGGTTGTCTCAGGGATCTGGACCCTCAAATCATTGGCTTCCTTTTAGTTCCCCTGAGCAACACCAAACAGGGTATCTCATGTCTTGATAAAATGAGATCTCGCCGCCCAGATCTCGCCGCTCCGTGAAAGGGTGCTTGGTTTGGACCTTCCACTGGACGCACAAAAAAACGGCAAGCCAGCAGTGCCGCGAGAGTCCCAGGCAAACCTATGTGATGAGTAACCCATTACCATGTTCCGATGGGTACTTGCTAAACAGGCAAATGGATCCACTGAGTCATTCATGCTTTACAACCGTACAGTCTTTTTCAGTGCACCCTTTTGGGTTGCTTGTTTACGGGGAGCAAACCGAAACTCTTTGCTCGGAGGGGGCTCCAAGACGAGACTAAGAAAAGTAAAATGAAGCTCCAACTTATTGTTAGCGCAGGTCCTGGTAGGAGGTGACAGTCGCAATCACATGATTCTAGGCTAGGGGGGTACCTTCCATGCTTTCCAGGGATGATTCTTTGTGCGGGGAAATGGCGATCGGTTTTTGAAAGGAACGATGGTTGAAAAGAATGTGGAGTCAACCCCTAGAATGATGGGTTTGTTTCAGAACAAGGGAACGCCTACCAGCAGTCCCTGGCCCCAAACAAGCATTGGGTTAAATAACATGCCATTGGACAGCCACTGGGTGGCCTGGTATGGGTGGTTTCCCTTTGGTTTCCTTTTAAGACCTAGCCCAAATGCTCCTCGAAGAGTGACTTTGTCCCAATAGTGAGGGCTGTGCATGTGTGTGTGTGTGTGTGTTTTCTTAGACGCTTCATGGAAGACAGGTTCCAACATGGAGACCCGTTTGGGCTTTGGATATCTTTCGATTCTCCCGTGCAGACAGCGAGTCGGGAATACCCAAAGCTCCATCCAACGGATCCAGGAGTTCTTTCTTAAGATGATGATCTCTAACCCAACTGTTTCCCAGAAAACTATCTCGGGATCCTTCTCTTCCAAACATGGTGGCAAAAAGCCCTGCTTGAAAATGGGTGGTTTCCGAAGACAATGGGCGAAGAGATTGGTTGGAATCAACTATCAACCCTTACCCAGAAAAATCCACTTACCAGTTAAAGGCAGGGAACCCATGGGCGAAGTTGACTGATTCCTTTTCTCGAAAGTTGGGATTGGATCCCAGTGGATCCATTTGCCTCTACCGTGGGAACCAGCCCTTACCCACAATACTACGAATGGGCTAAAGCATGCCTGCACCACCTAACAAACCCTGGCATGATGATTTCCCTGTGAGAACCAAAAACTGGTACTCTATAGAATTTCCTCCATCCGCACTCTGGGGAACCGGGCTCCTCGAACAGCGGAAATCAACGTTTGCAAGATCCGTTGGCTTCTCTAGGTGTTTGTGCTTGGGAAAGGAACCACCAGGACCTACTTGTTGGTGTTTTGACCACACGCCAAGATTTTGGAGGTCAACCCAACTCAATTTTGCATTGGGTTCTAACCACGAGGATTCAACAACCGGAAGCCGCTTACCTAAAAGTGGCCTGCTGGCAATCCCACTTGCAGCTATCACCGTGGTAGGTGCTAAGGGGACTTCCAAACAAACTAAGTGCTCAGGGAAAAATGAGATCAAATGGGCCCAGGGTCATCCACGAATCCAACGCACGGTGTTCTACTGGATGTGCAACTCCTGTCGTGGCAACTCTGTGTATTAACATTGCAGTGCCTGAACACCCTTTTTGCAGAGAAACCCTTAAGAAGTGGACCTCAACGGAAGCGGGGTTTCCTTTGGCCATATGATTGTCCTATCAAAGTCACCCCGTTCAGTGGTAAGTTAAAGGGAAACCCCCAACCAGTTGCTGACTAGAGTATCCATGACTACTTTGTTGCTTGTACAAGACACCATCCAATAGAATGACCCCAACAATAAGGGATAATCCCTCTAAGCGAACGTTACAACTCCCGATTTCAACCAAAAGAACACAGACCGCATACACATATATTGTTATTATTATCATCATTAGTTTTATGTGTATCTTATTGTTATTTGTATTGCTTTTAGTATTAGTATCAATTATTTCTATTATGATTATTATTGTTGTTATCTTTATTATTGTCATCACTATTACCATATTATTATTGTTATTGGCATTATTATCATTGGTATCAATCATATTATCGTTATTAGTATTGTCAATACTAGTATCATTATTATCATTGTCATTACTATCATTACTACAAGTTCGTTATTTATGATTCATTATTTGAAATGGAATAGGAATCTGGGCATTATTTTGGGAACATTATCATCATTTTGGGCATATATTATCACAGTACTGATCATTGTTAAAAGTCGCCGGTTACTCCTCATTATCAGTATCACCATTATTACCATTGTCATTATGATCAATATTCTTATCAGCATTATTATCTTCACTGTTCTTGGCATGTTTTTTGGCTTTTTAGTTTTTGGTTCTGTTCATTTTTGCCGGGGGGGTCTGCAAAAAGCAGTTAGTTTTTCGCCAGCCCATACCAAGAGTAGACATGTTATCATGATTTAAGTTGGTTACTCTAGTGTTATGTTATCATTTATGTTGGTTATCATTTACTCTATTATTTAAGTTGGTTATCATTTATGTTATCATTATTTAAGTTAAAATAAAAGTCGAGGGTTACTCCTCACTTCAAGCGTGAGGTACTTGGCCAAGCCGCCGGAGGGGGCCAAAGCGCCCTGGCCGCTGC